AGTGTTATATCATATAAAACTTTATTGTTGGAAAAAACATTCTTATATTCATGCAGAATGGTAAAATGTTCGCATAAATACTTTTTTTTATTCAGTATTAGGAATAAAGCTAAGGGCACTCTACTACTAAGCTATATCTCTCCAGCCCTTCAAAAATTTTGAGAGGATCATGCTAAATTGCCCAGGCTGGGTTCAAACTCATGTTTCTCCTGCCTTAGTCTTTGGAGTAGCTGGGATTACAGGTGCATACACACATGTTGGCTCACCCACAGCTCTTGATGATAGGTGTGTACATCTGAGACCTAGTCATAGCAAAAGCTTTATCTCTGAATAGCTTCTGTTTCACAGTTTTGGGCTATCCTCACATGTCATCTGTGAACATAAACTCAACTCAGATAATGCCAACTTGCTCTGCTATCAGATAGATGGTAAGCAAGCAATAATTTAAGTGCATTACATACTATCCCATTTAAGATTTACAATCTGAGTTCAATCCCTGGTTCCACACACACAAAAAAAATCTAATGAGATAGGTACTATCATAATTGCCATTTTACAGAGGAAGAAATTGACCCAGATGGTTATATGATTTTACTAAGGCCACATGGGTCATAAGGGTCAATATGGGCTGGGCAAGATGGCACATGCCTACAATCCCAGCACTCTAGCAGGTTGAGACAAGAGGAATGCAGGTTTCAGCCCAGCCTGGGCAATTTAGGGAGATCTTATCTCAAAATTTTAAAATAAAGGGTGTTGGATAGTAGCCCAGTGCTAAGACCCTGGGTTCAATCCTCAGAGCTAAATAGTGGCACTCTGGAACTGAGCTCAATCTCAGGGGCTTCAAAACCCATGTTTTAAACCACTGATGTGCAGTTCATTATGGTGTTCAAGATGCTAGAAAACAAGACTTTATTTATTTATTTATTTATTTATTTTTGTATTTAGTACAAGGTCTACAGGGTCTCACTATGTAGATCAGACTCCTACTGATCCTCCCATTTGCAGCCTCCCAAGTGTTGGGATTACAGGCGCGCGCCACCACACCCAGTCCCAACCCATCTCAGTATGCAGGGGAAGAAGGGGCACGTGGCATGGCAAAGCAGGCCCAAGGATCGAACCCCCAGCCTCTGCACCTGCTTGCAGGTGCTTTAATCCGCTGAGCTATTTGGCTGGCCCTAGAAAACAAGACTTTAAAATGCCTTTGAAACTCCAGTTTGATAGGGTCAATGTATCAGTGTTACCTTTTACTAGAGCTGACGCCATGACAAAAACACAGTGCAGGCACCTAACAACAGAGCCCCAAAACTCAAGAAGCAAAAACTGGCTGCATTAAAGGGATAAAGACACAATTCAACACTAGCTATAGCCAGGCATGGTGGTCCACACCTATGAGGAAGGAAGATCAAAAGTTTGAAGCCAGTCTGGACTATTTAATAAGACCTGGTCTCAAAATAGAAATTTAAAAAATGGTCTGGGCATGTAACTCAAGGGATACAGCACTTGGCTAGCACATTTAAAGCCCTGTACTCAGTGCTCATATACAAAGAAAATAAGCTGGGTGAGGCAGGATAGTAGTTGTGAGTTCAAGATCAGCCTGGGCCACAAACTGAGCTCAAGTCCAGCCTGAACTGTATAATGAGACCCTGTCTCAAAAAGACAAAAAAGCAAAAAACGAAACAAGCAAACAAATAAAAACATCATATTGTCTCCTTAGTGTGAGAATCTGAAAGAGAAAATGGAATGTGAAGGGTACAATAAATACTGGGAAAAGGGAACAAACTTATTCAAAAGGAAAGAGTTACTGAGTTGAGAAGGACAGGAGGGGGAGTGGGGGAAAGAGATCTATCTATGTATGTAAGCAGCATGGTTTGGACAACTGTGCGGTGCATTTCTGCTGGTCTATGGAAAGGAGCAGTTAATGCTTAATTTGTTTTGTCTCCTTTTTTTCAATTGTTTGTATTTTTCTCTTCTTGATTTCTTACATGTTTCTTTTTTTTTCTTCTTCCAATTTTGCATGCAAATATCTGGTAATATGAATGACTGATTGGAAGACAACACTATGTGTTAGAACAAATACAGTGAAATTCATATTACTTTGTTAAGTGAAATTCTATACCACTTTTTTAAAAAATGTATTTAGTACAAGATCTACAGGGTTTACAGGGTCTCAATACTTAGATAGGACTCATAGTGATCCTCCTGTTTTCAGCCTCCCAAGTGCTGCGATTACAGGTGCACACCACCACGCTCAGTCTCAATTACCATCTCAGCGTGCCCAGGGGGCAGGGCCAGCACAGCACACCAGGGATCGAACCCCAGTCCCTGTGTCTGTCTAAGCAGGTGCTTTAGTCTGCTAAGCTCTCTGGCTGGTCCCTCACTTTTTTATCATTTCTAATTTTTATGTTTTAATATTATTTTGTAGTCTCTTAAAAAAATTAAAAATTAAAAAAAGAAAAAAAGAACTGGGGAGATGGCTCAGTAGAATAAGCACTTGCCTGGCAAGCGCAAGGGCCTGAGTTCAATCCCTAGTTCCGCCAAAAAAAGAAAAAAGAAAAATAAAAAAAGACAGAAAGAAGATTAAATAAATTTTTTTTAAAATAGACAATTTTATCCAGTAAAAGGGAAAGAAAAGACTTACATCTGTGTAATTAGGAAAGAAAAGGGTGAACTTACAAATGATCCTATAGAAATACAGACCATCTATGCCTATTTTGAGAACTTGTATTCTAATAAGATGAAAAATGTAGAAGAAATGGATAGATTCCTAAATACATATGAATTTCTAAAGCTGAATCAAGAAGATACAAAATCCTAAATAAACCAATGTCAGTCAATGGGCTTGAAGATGTAATTAAAAACCTACCAGCAAAGAAAAACACAGGTCCTGACACATTCACTGCTGAGTCCTACAAGAAATTTAGAGAAGACCTGATGCTGTTACTTCTCAAATACTTTAATGAAATTGAAAGGGAAGCAGTACTTACAAATTCATTCCTGGAAACAAGCATTACCTTGATACCAAAACTAGAGAAGGACCCAACCAGGAAAGATAACTATAGGCCAATCTCCCTAATGAACATAGATGTAAAAATCCTCAATAAAATACTGGCAGTGTCAAGGATGGTGATGCCTGTCT